GTCCCCCTGCAGCCCATGGAGGAGCACCGGGGTGCAGAGATCCACCTGCAGCCTGTGGGGGAGCTCCCGTGACAGTGGGTGGATGCCCAAAAGAGGCTGTGAGCCCGTGGGAGCCCCATGCTGGAGCTGGGTCCTGACAGGGATGTGCTGCACATGGACAGAGGAGCCCACGAAGGAGCAGGTTTCCCTGGCAGGACCCACAGTGGAGCAGCTTGTTCCTGAAGGAATGCACCCCATGGAGACACCAGGACAAGAGGCAGCCAAGACCCCTGCCACGGGGACACCACAGCCCTCAAGTGCTCACCTCTGCCCCACACTCCTTCTCATCATCCCAGTGGAAGAATGGGAGCAGGCCCTGGCACACATCCGTCTTTCCCTCTTTCGCTACCATCTCCATCACCTCTTGGAAGAGGCAAATGGAGAGCAGCTGCACATGGCTGTTGTCCTGGAGCAGAAGAAGACAAAAAGATCTCAGCACTGGCTGCTCCAGGTGCACCTGGAACAGGCTTTAAAATCCACAGGGCACAAAGTTTCCTGGCAGCACCAGATCCTTACATTTTCAAACAGTGGCTGGAGTGTCTCAGCCAGCTGTGGAGCATCGCAGCTGAATGCCTGAAGATCTCCAATCCGGAGCACATTCAGGAAGACAGAGAGGGTCATCTCAACCAGCTCTGTGTCTTCATGATGCAGCAGCTCCAGGAGGCTTTCAGCCAGGCTGCAGATGCTGTCGGCCTGTGTGAAACACAGTGCTGTGCTGTGAAGCCCTGAACAGCTGCCCCACCAACAGCTCTCTGGTGCTGCAAACCCACGCTGCTGTCCCAGGGCCCAGAGGCAGAGGGAGGCAGGAGAGCTGGGAGCAGCTGCCACAGCTCCCAAAACCCAGCCAAGCCCAAGCTACTGCACTCCCCAGGCCCAGGCTGCCAATGTGGCTTCATCCGGGTGTGCCCTTCTCACCATCGAGGGATCCACACTGAGAACAAGGAGCCCTCTCAGTGCCAGGCGCCGCCTGTCAGGGCACTGGCTCTGCAGGTTCCTTGAGAGGATGGGCAGGACACTCTCACGACACTTTCTCCCATCCAGATAGTCCAGGACCTGGAAGGCAGAGAGCAGTGACAGGGTGGCCAGGCAGCAGGAGCCCAGAGCCACCCAGGGCTGTGCCCAGGCAGCAGCACAGGGCACAGGTACCATCCCCGGCAGCTGTGGCTGCGAGAGGGCAGAGAGGGGCAGGCAGGTGGGTGAGGCAGCGCTCTCCATCAGACTCACCTCTACAAGGAACGCCAGGGCAGGGAGCTCCCAGAGGAGCTCCTCCCTCTTGAGCAGCCCGAGCAGGTGGATCGCTGTCTGGGAATGGAAGGGGACCAAGACACGCCGTGTCTCCCTGTCATGGGGGAAAAGGATCCATGGAGCCTGAGCCAGGTGGTCAAAGCTCTCCAAGAACAGACTCACAGAGGCCTGAACCTTTCCCACCAGCTCAGCATGAGATGTGGGTGCTTTGGGAGGTAGCTCCACCTGTGCACCCAGCTCTCACAGCCTTTCCCAATCTGCTCGGACATCTCTTGATGCCAAGGCCCTCTGGTCCACGGCCACAAGGGCTATGTGTTGTTGCCTGGTGCCCAGGGGAGAGACAAAAGGGGCAGTGGGGAGAAGAATGTCTCACCTGGCCAGCAGCCCCACTGCATAATGGTGGGTGTCAGAATCAAGCAGTGTCTCCCAGCCACGCTTTTGTTCAACGGCCACCACCTCATTCTCCCATTGCAGGTGGCAGAACAGAGCCTTCAGGGTCTGTACTGCAAACCTGTGTGCAGAGCAAAGGCCAGGTCATGCTGGGAGTCCTGGCCTCAGCCCCAAGGGCATTGGAGGGAGAGAGGACAGGAATGGAGCACCTGTTGGGGTTGGCGGGAAGGCCATGGTCCTCCTGGCATCCCCTCCAGAAAGCATTGACCTCTTCTGGCATCTGGTCTGTGCTCATGGAAATTTGGATGAGCAAAGCCACAAGAAGTCGGGGGACATAATTGAAAACTGCATCTTGGCACTTGGGCTCCTGGATGATGAGCCGCAGTGCCAGGGTTGCCTGCAATAAAACCATACAGAGATAGTGCTCAGTGTGACAGGTCCATGTGGCAGAGCTCGAGCATGGGAGGAAGATGGCAGGGGAGACCCAGGGGGAGCAGCCAGCCTGGTGCCCCTGAACCTGCCCCTCTACCACATTTGCAGCCCAGTGCCTGGGGCAGAGGGATGCAGTGGTGGGGGAGGATGGAGAGTCGCTGGAGAGGTGACCTGGAGAGGAGCAAAGGCTGATTCCAGAAACTCACAGCTAGGGAAGAGACGTGTGTGTGGTCACCATCAGAGGTGGACACGCCGTGCACTGGCCATTCCTCCATTGCTCCAA